ACCATGTTTTATAAACGTCTTTGTAGGCCCAAATTAAAGGGTGAATTAAAGTTAAATGAAGAAAAGTTGGTATAAAAAACTCTGGTTCTTTAAGTGTTGGATGGTGTGTGTGTGTGAGAGAGATTCAAATAAGAGAATCTCTTACATTGAATCTTACATATTCCCACATAAACATGTAAGACATCCTCCCACGGATCTGGTGTTGCAGGTGGTTTACAAAAATCCTTCTATCTGGAAAATCTGCATTGGCCATGCATTTAATTTCCCAATGCCATTCCTATCTCCTTGTGGCTCCTCCTTTTGCGTTTCACTAAGCTAAGAGAATGTACATTTCTACCTCTGGCAAAAGTTTACCCCCGTAGACACACAGTCCTATGAAAACTAAACTGAAATGGTTTCTGGATGAGCAGATGTACATTAACAATTTCACCTAGTCTGATTCTGAATCTCGAGTTCTTTAATGGGCTGGCATATAAACTACTGCTTATATCCATAGATATTGAAGTATATATCTGAGTGCAGGCTATATATCAAACAAAGAAAAAACCCCTGACTTGGAACTCTCAGTTGCAAGGCAGGAAATTCTTTCAGAGGGCAGGAAGTAGCTATGTGCTTTTCTGCTAAGCAATACTTCAATTTCCCCACCCTTAGGGAAAGCTTGCCCTGATGTTGTTTCAATTCAGCAGATGCTGAGCAGTTAGAGAAAGAGAACAAACAACTAGGGGAAGTATTACTACCTGTTTATTTGGATTTTTACTAAACAAGACTGGCCACCAGCTGTTGCAGGGTAGGGGAAGAGCTAGATGGGAATAGGAAATGCCAACTCAGATGGAAGCTAGTTTTTGGCTTTCTGGCTCTCCGGGGGAAAAAAGGTATCAAGGAAGTACATGGTCATTCTCAAATGGCCAAGAGGCAAAGGCAAGATAATGCACTCCATTCACTAGCATGGCGGGGTTGGGCTTAGAGTGCATAAATGAAGTCACACATAGTTATGAAATTAATGTTAGTCACCTACTCTATATTCATTTTCTCCTTCTTCCTTACTAAAACCTGTATATTGTTGGGCACAGTAACGTCCATGCAAGAATGACATTTCTTGGCCTCCTTTATAGCTAGCTGTAGTCACATGATTGAGTTCTGGCCAAATCAAGTGAAAGTGTTGAATACGATTTCCAGGAAGACTCTTTAGAGGGCCCTGACTCAGCTAGGTTTGCTCATTTTGTCCTTGCCCTCTTTTCCTCATGCTGCCAGGAATTTCAAAGTGACAGCTGATGGTCAAGTGGCTATTTTGGACCATGGGGTGACCTTGAGAAGGATCATGTTGTGGTACAGGCAGGAACCTCCATACTAGCCTTTAACTGCCCAACTTTGGCATAGTTTTCTATGAGAAAACTATTTAAGCTGTTGCTAGTTCTGCTTAATATAGAGTCAAACTCAATGCTAACTGAGATACCCTGATAGTTACTGGCAATCATGTAACAGATACTTCCTATCTTCCTATCCTCCAAAGCAAGGTGGATTCTGTACCTTACTCTATCCTTCTTACGACAGTAAAGGAGAGCTGAGGCATGTGTTATGTCAGAAGAGGAAACTGGAGTTGAAACAAATCAAGACTTGCCCAATGTCACACAACTGGCTACTTGGAAAGCAGCAGGCTCTGGAAGCCAGGGTGCCTCACCCCTAGGATTTTTAAAAGCATAGTAGAAATAGGTGACAAATTTCCTTTAAAAAGATTTTGGGCCGGGCGCGGTGGCTCACGCCCGTAATCTCAGCACTTTGGGAGGCCGAGGTGGGCAGATCACGAGGTCAGGAGATCGAGACCATCTTGGCTAACACGGTGAAACCCCGTCTCTACTAAAAATACAAAAAATTAGCTGGGCGTGTGGTGGGCGCCTGTAATCCCAGCTGCTCGGGAGGCTGAGGCAGGAGAATGGTGTGAACCCAGGAGGCGGAGCTTGCAGTGAGCTGAGATCGCGCCACTGCACTCCAGCCTGGGCGACAGAGTGAGACTCTGTCTCAAAAAAAAAAAAAAGATTTTGATTGGTTATTTTTAAAAAGCAAGCATTTGGCTGGGTGTGGTGGCTCATGCCTGTAATCCCAGCACTTTGGGAGGCCGAGGCCAGCGGATAACAAGGTCAGGAGTTCGAGACCAGCCTGCCCAACATGGCAAAACCCCGTCTCTACTGAAAATACAAAAATTAGCTGGGCATGGCAGCGTGCACCTGTCATCCCAGCTACTTGGGAGGCTGAGGCAGGAGAATTGCTTGAAACCAGAAGGCAGAGTTTGTAGTGAGCTGATATCATGCCACTGCACTCCAGGCTAGGCAACAAGAGCAAAACTCCAACTCAAAAAAAAAAAAAAAAAAGCAAGCATTTAACCACATCTCCTTTCTTCTATCAAATGATCTTCTATCAAGGGGACATCAGAGTCACTGACTTTAAAAACATCCTTTTAAGTTGTCTCCAGAATACTACTGCTATATTAAAATGAATTAGAATTCACTGTATTGTTACAGCATACACTAAAAGAGCTGACTTCTCAAACAGGTAAAGACACATTTTGAAGTAGCAATTAGTAAAATGAATGTGTTACTGTTTTAAAAGCATAACAGACATGATGATTAATGTAGAGTTGACAGAGTCTTTAAGAGGAAAAAACAGAAGTAGGCCTTCTTTTAAAATTTTTTATTTTTTTGAGACGGAGTCTCGCTCTATTGCCAGGCTGGAGTGCAGTGGTGCGATCTCGGCTCACTGCAACCTCTGCCTCCCAAGTTCAAGCGATTCTCCTGCCTAAGCCTCCCGAGTAGCTGGGACTACAGGCATGTACCACCATGCCCAGCTAATTTTTGTATTTTTAGTAGAGTCAGGGTTTCACCAGGTTGGCCAGGATGGTCTCAATCTCTTAACCTCGTGATCTGCCCACCTCGGCCTTCCAAAGTGTTGGGATTACAGGCATGAGCCACCGTGCCCGGCCAGAGGTAGGACTTTTTATTACAAAGCAAGTAAAATTGAAACAGGTGAATTCAACATAGAAAAGTTTTAATGAGACAAATGTCAAACAAGCATATCAACTTCTTAAAAAACAAAGAAAATCTGAAAGTTTAATTACAAAAACACTTATACAGAAAACTTGGCATTTCAAAGTTCCAAACACATGTACACAAGTTTTTTCTAAAATTAGTCAGAAATAAAATACCTTGTCTCCCTTTCCTCAGCTGCTCCTTCTGTTTTAATTAAAAAGAAACAAAGAAATCTGTAACACTGAACAGGCAACAGCTTATTTCTTGAGAACATAAAGTACAGTAATATCTACAGGTGTACTGGGCAATATGAATTAGGTATTGTGCTAGCCTGTAACTTCATTTACTGCCTCCTCATTGAGCACAGAGGAGAGAGGAGGTGGCAAAGGCCTGCTCTACAGATACTGACAGTTTTGTGGCATCTGAATCCCAGCCACCAGAGGCAGGTGAGTAGCTACTGGGAAAGAGAGCATTTCAAAAGCAAGCTGCTTATTTTCTGAAAATGATTTCATACTGTAGGCTCTCTTGAGATCTCATGTATTCCTGAATATGCAAATGTTTCAAGTCACTGTCAAGTGTCCCATCTAGAGTCAGGAGAATGATGATCCTGGACCACGTTATGGCCTTTTCTGGTCACAAAAGCAGTGCTAACAATGCTGCACAAAACTGAACACAAATGAGTAACAGAAATATGAGGAGGAAGGAAGAGAGGACAGAAAGCATCTGGCAGAAGGAAGAAACCAATCTCCAGAATGGGCTCTGGATGTCCTTCTGCCATAGACAGTGAACTCTGGCTTGGACTTTGCAGACAAGGAGTCTAAGAGAAGCAGCAGAAATACAGATGATGGCAGGGAAATAGGAAAATACAGAAGAGCAAGAGAGCTGGCTAGGTTTATAGCAATAGATAATAATGGGGTCTTATTCTAAAAATTTGCCAAGTGATGGTATGTGGGTTTCAGCACATGGATATCTGATGTATGTTCACATAAGACATTTTAAAAACAGATTTTGTTGCTGTTTTCCTTTGGACTAATAAAGGAAACAGGCAAGGAGATGCTGAGAAGACACGATGGTGTAGCAACTTGACAGGGAGTTCTGCCCTACACTCTGACTTACGGGCATATTGTGAGAGGGGTCACACTTCTATCCACCTGCCTGCAGTGGTGTGGTGCCCAGACAATGGGCTCTGCTTGCTCTGCTTTGGTTCCAAAGATCTCAGCTGTAACCTTTAGCCTTGTGCTAGAGTGTCAAAACAAAAACAAAAACAAAGAAACAACCAAAAAACCCTGAGGTAAGAATCAGAACCTCTTTTTCCTTTTGCTGTTAAAGGAACCAGAAACTGCTAGGCGTGATGCTTGAGCCCAAGAGTTGGAGGCTGTAGCGTGTTATGATAGCATCTGTGAATAGCCACCGCACTCCAGCCTGGGCAACACAGCGAGACCTCATCTCTAAACAAAACAAAACAAACAAACAAAAATGAACCAGAAAGTCCTCTTTACTTATGCTGTTAAACGAAAAAAATCACTAAGGAGGGAGAAGGAAGGGAAGCCTGTCTTCTTCACATGGATCAGCAGTTAATCGCTACAGAAGGAAGACAAAGGACATGAGAATTCTTCCTTGCTTTTTTTGTGAGCTCAAGTGACTATTCTGAATGATATTTCCACCTATTTAGATCCATGAATCATCACTCCTAAAGAAGACAGGAATTCCCTCAGTTTTCACTTACAATAAACTTTGGCCCTTTGTACTCTTTCCCTTTCTCCTCTGTTTACAAGTGACCTTTTCCTCAGCAAAAATGCTCCACAAGACATTGTCAATGGATGGGAACAGAAGAGCCTTGCTGGGGCTGGGACTCCATGTCTGTGCAGGAGCAATGCTTAGAAAACAGTAGGCAGTACCAGTGAGGAAGGAAAGAGCATTCTCCTTTAGGGCAGCAATCACAAAGCATTCTCCTTTAGGGCAGCAATCACAAAGCCACACTAAGACTGGTACCCACTGAGCACCATGTGGGGTAGGAAACATAGCCTTGCTCCACATGGCACTATCAACAAGAAGCTCCTTTCTTTGGAGTCACAGCAGGGCAATGATGGGAGAAGATTGGGCCTGTCTAACGCAAGAAACTCTCCTTCAGAACCTTGCTGAGCAACAAAGTTCAGAGGTCAGAAAATGGAGATGTATAAATTGGTGGGGGCCAAGAAAAGCAAAAATAACCCCCAGAGGCATTTAAAAAAGTGACAAGTAGGTAAGAAAACTGGAGCTCCACTGATAAAAGGGTCTAAGTGAAATTACAAGAAGAGAAGTCTTCCTTTCTGCAGCAGCAGATGTCAGCATCAGGGTCACCCAGTAAGCTGAAGATATGCAGCTCCACTTTAACAGAAATGGAAATGGTAGGAACCTGAAGACCTGGGAGAGTGGCTGCATACCTTCAAAGTTTCACAGAAGGACAATTCCATAGGAAGCTCATATACATGTTGCTGCTCCTTCATATGGCTTCCTGGGGTGACGGCCTTTCACTCACTGAAAATTCTTTCACAAGCAAAGGGATCTGCACTCTTTCTCCACCCCCACTCAGTTCAAATTTCCATGGATGGCTTCTCATTCCTTACAAGTAAAAACACTTATGGAACATCTTGGAGCTCTAAGACCTGTGGAATCAGGAGAAAACAAAACAAAACAAAAAAAACCAGAACAAAAACAAAAACAAACAAGGAAAATAACACCAAGAAAGTAAGTATTGATTGGAAGGGGTTAGCACTATGGATTTTAAAAATGCTTTGGTTTCATAAGCGTTACAGTGAGTGCAGGGTATATGTAAACTAAAGAACTCAAAAAGCTGCAAGCAGGCAACCTCATTGAGATGTTTTACATAACATTTCAATGAGAAACATAACACTGCTCCAGTTCAGCAACAATGGGAGGTAGGAAAATCATCAGCTAAACACAGAAAAGCAACTATCAGGGACAAACCTGAGGAGGGAAAATGAGTAACCTACTTTAGTCTGAAGAATGTATGGTCAATCAAAACCAATTTTCTTCAAGTGTTAACTAAGGATATCTGCATGTATAGAGATGTATTATGTGCATATAATCAAGAACATTTCTCATATTAAAAAAAATACAGTCACATAAGATTTTCTTCCCCTAAACTCAAACAGCCAAATATTATCATTGAAATCAGGCAACATATGCATTTTAGTAGTTTATATAAGGTAGTCACCTTTCAACTTAAAATCACCCCCATGGCTTCCTCCCAGTTCCACTTGTCTCTAGGTACTACTCAGTCACAAGAAAGGTGACAGGTAGGGTAATTCTTCCACTGTATATTTATCAAAATAATTTTAAAATGGGCTAAAACTCTGTAACATTATAATTCCTGGATTGTAATTTTTTTCTATTTACTTCCTATGTATCTTAATGCTCTATTTCAGGACTTTTTAGTGCTTTCCCCTTCCCCCATCCACCTCTTCCTTAGAGCAATGTTTTAGAAACCCAGTGAATGAGAGTTTAGATATCTGTGGTTCTAGTCTTGGATTCTGTACTCATCTATGCAGATATTTTCAAGCAAGATGTTTCTCCTCTCTGGGATTCAGTTTCTTCATATATAAAATGTTGGATTTCTAAAGGGCCCTTCCAACTCTAATATGCTCCTCTGAAACTTGTAGACCATTAGCTTCCCTTCACTCACTGGCTCCTGACAGTGGATGAAACCTTTGCCAAACTCTTGTCAGAGTAATTAATTGCACCATGAGTGCTGGGGACATCAGCCTCGCTGTCTGTACATATTTGTATGATTAGGCCAAACCAGTATTAATCACAGTCTTTGTAATTATTTCCTTTGACAGTTTTGGGGGGTGTGGGAAACCATCTATTGTTAGTTATGTTTGCATGGCTAGATTGTAAGTATCTGTAGTAATATAACAGTTCACACTTTTAGTTATTTTTTCAGGGGCAAAATATTTGTAGGTTAAAATCAAGGATAATAGTAATATTCTAAGTTTACAGACTCCTCAGAAAACAAATAATATAGTTTATATTCTTGAGATGAACAAAGCTTTAGGAGAGTCTTACTGGCAAAGTGCTCAAAATGGAAAACCACTTTTGGGTCAATACTTAATTAGCTGCCCTATATCTATGTGAAGAGACACCATGTTATCAATTAATGTTTTCTTTCACAATCTTCCACACTGTTTCTCCCAGCTCTCACTTTTCAAGCATACAAGAGTGCTAATTGAAAACACTGTACGAAAATGGGAAGGATGATGAGCTCCTGAAAATCCCAGTCCTAGATTTACAAGCTGTTCCCTTCATAAGCAGCAGCAGTAATGCCACTTCTTTATTCTGCAGGGAGTCCAGCCATCTCTAAGAAGTACAGTCCATTCCATCTGGCTACTCACTAGAAGGATGGTAATCCTTTCCCTATCAGAGGCTGAGGCTAAAATACAATGCATCGCCTTGTACAGTTACCATCCAAGGGCATCACCAACAAGTATACTAGGCATTTATCTTTGTCTCTACTAGGCATTTATCTTTACATATGTTGCTCAAAGTCCAAACCGAGTCAGAATATAAATTATGTATATGAGTGTGCTCATGTACTCACAGGATGAATAAAGATTCAAACCCATGACCAATCTAAGGAACATATCCTGCTGTTGACTCTCATTTTAGTATCCATATATGGCCACCTCATTGTAGAGTCCAATCTTAAAATTTCCACACAGTTTCTATGTCTGCAGGTATGGAATAACTTAACCAATAGAGCAAAGGGATGCCAATTTTGTGGGATGGCATACTAAAAGGGTATCCCATCTTTAGGAATTTGAATGAACAAATAGCAATTCCATTTAAGAAATGACCATTAGTACCAAAAAGTGTACATGTAGATCCCTTCTGGGGGGGAAAAAAAAAGGAATACATACTACTGCTCATTTGTTGAATATATTTTTTAAAAACTTATTTTCTCTCTCCTCTTTTTTTTGCTTGAGAATTTTATATTTTTATGGTTTTTTGAGACAGAGTCTTGCTCTGTCACCCTGGCTAGAATACACTAGTGTGACCCGAACTTACTGAAACCCGAACTCCTGGGCTTAAGTGATCCTCCTGCCTCAGCCTCCTGAGTAGCTAGGACTACAGGTGTGTGTCATCATGCTCGGCTAATTTTTTTCATTTTTTTAAAAGCAGGGGTCTCACTATTTTGTCCAAGCTGGTCTTGAACTCCTGGGCTCAGGCAATCCTGCCTCAACCTCCCAAAGTGCTAGAACTACAGGCATGAGCCACTATGCCCCACCAAGAATTTATTTATTTTTTATTTTAAAAAAATTTTGAGACAGTATCTTGCTCTATCACCCAGGCTGGCGTGCAGTGGTGTGATAATGGCTCACTGCAGCCTCGCCTCGACTTCCTTGGCTCAAGTGATCCTCCCACTTCAGCCTCCCAAGTAGCTGGGACCACAAGCTCACGCCACCATGCCTGGCTAATTTTTTGTAGTTTTTGTAGATGTAGGGTTTTGTCATGTTGCCCAGACTGGTCTTGAACTCCTGGGCTCTAGCAGTCTGCCTGCCTTGACCTCCCAAAGTGCTAGGCTTACAGGTGTGAGCCATTGCACCTGGCTGAAGAATTTATTTTTTAATCTATCAAAACCAGGGAGTTACCTGTTTGTATGGTGAGTCCACATCAACATTTAACAGACAACAGTCACTGTGTTATTGAGTGGTGAATATAAAAGCTTCCTACTTATGTAGGCTCACATACATACAATGTCTCACTGACTACTTCTAAATTATCATTAGTATCTTCCAGAGAAAAGGAAGATTAAAAATTAAGTTATATTTGTTTTGTTCTGAGTGCTATTTTGGGGATGATTTCCTCTAAGTTTCCCACTCACTTTTCAAAACCTTTTGGGAAACTGATGCCCAAGAATACAGCTAATAAGTGACAAAGCTAGAACTGAGGCTAAACCACAAAAACCATGCTCTTCCCATTAAACTATTCTGAAGCAAGCATGAGAAAAAACTGTCTTGAGTCTGTTTTATTTTATTTTTAGAGACATGATCTCTCTGGACTTGAACTGCTGGGCTCAAGCAATCCTTCCACCTAAGCCTCCCAAGTAGCTGGGACTACAGTGACTCTGTTTTCTAATATTATTTACTACATTTAACAACCACGCAACAGGAATCTTAACCAAGTCTCCAACTCATTCATCCAATGTAATCCCATGGTTTTAGTAGTATTGATAAAGTCTGATGACATCTTATTTTTGATGATGTGCTGGCATATAAATATTTATCAGTGAGCACTCACCATTCCCTAACGATCAAGTCTGTTCACAACTTCTCGAACTGTAGCTATGAAGTTTTCATTGTCTTGGGGATTAGCTAAAATAATACTGTGCAGTCTGTTCATATATGAGTCAATGGTGTCCACTGTAGGTGTCTCTCCACTTCCTGAAGTGAGATAAGAATAAAGTAAGAAAATTCTCCCTATTCAGTTTTACCATAAAACACAATTTCAAAGAAATAGTGATTCTAATGTGGTCTGCTCCACAGACATGCTTTTAATTTTAGAGGAGAGACTTTTAGGTCTCAAAGAAATAAATTAGTCTACATACTCTAAATAAACAGATGGGCTATATAATTGCTGATTGGATATATGAGTAGCTGCACGTAACAGAAGGTTAGACTCTCTCAGCTTTCTGCTGACTATCCTCAAAATGAAAGAGTATATAAGAAATACCAGTGTTCATTTTCCCCTCCTTCCCGTTAAAACAGAAACTACAAAGCAAACAAACATACATAAGAGGAAGCACTCTCCTCAAGATTTACTACTCAGTTTCCAGTGTTCTGAATAGCAAATTAAGCTTAAAAGAGAGGAAAACAGATATTAAAATATAAATAGACAAAAATTTGAATGACCAGAGAGCCTGAAACATTGGATGATTTTAGCCAATACTGACATTCTTTTATATCCAGAGGAGAAAAAATGTATTTTAATTAATTTTCCTCTGGAGGAGATTTCAACCTTTCCACACCAGTACTAACATAAATAGCATCCTGCTCCCCACAACACACACACCCCTGTCCCTGACAGTTCTCAGGCAGGAAGACTTACCAGGCAAGGGCATGCTGGCAAAGCTGCTGGTCAGCACCTGCCGCAGGGTCTCCAGGTGCTGCTGTAAGACTGTGTTGCGGCTCCGCTCCTGGATCACATCCACCTCCAGCTTCTCCACTGCTGTGCGCATGCTCTCCACGTGCTTTTGCAGGGCTGCATTCCTCTCCTCAAACTCCATGTTGGATTTGCGAAGCTGGCGGAGCTCTGCCTCCCGAGCTGAGGACATACATCCCACAGAACACATGCAGCACTAGAAGGAGTCTCTGAGGAGTCCCAATGACTCTTACAGGGAAGTTCTGCTTAGCTGCCTCTAATTTAGCTACCCCACCTCATCTCCCTATTCTCATTATGGCATTCCAGATAGCAATTTCAGCAATGAAACGCCTGACTCCCCAGAGCTATTTTAATTCTTAAAGTTAGCCACATTTCATACGTAAGATTGCAACAGTTTCAATTCCCAGTATTTTTTTGTTTGTTAGTTTTTGCTTTTTAAAATTGTACAATGAGAAGCCTGAGGGGTTTTGCAGGGGGATCCTGGGAGACTGGCCAAGCACAGCTGTAGGTACCCATCTTTACTACAATGGGATCAGATTTGCTCTTAGTTATTTTATATTTTGGACTCCCATGTAAGTTTTTATTTGTACAAAGGGTTCCAGGCTCAGAGTCTGAAGACAAGTGAATTTGTGATTTGCATTTATTTCCTTTCATCCAGAGACTAAAGCAGCTTTGACAACAATGGCCTAACTTTCCTTCACTGGTCTTTGAGCAGCTACCTTTACCATAGAGTGAAATAGAGGCAGTTCTTCTTCCTTTAGACTAGTCCTAAGGAGGGATAACACTACCATTGCTTTTGAGCAATGCATTTCTTCTGAGAAGTAAGTCCCCTGTCAAAAATCTGAGAAACACAAAAAGAAACTTCAGTAATCACCTTTGCTATGGTTCAAGAATTCCTCTGTAAATATAGGGATGTCAAAAACAGACCGTTCCTTTACCTCTGTTTCTTTCTGTGAATCAAGAGGAACAAAACAGTTAATTCTTAATAGAAGCTAAATTAAATAATAGTGCCTGAAGACAATGATCACGTCTTCTTTAAAAAAGAATAGGGTGAGCAGGAATCAGTCCAGGTGAGTCTGTGAGGGAAATGTATTCATCTTTCCATTGGAATCCAACTTTCATAGAGCTTAAGCAGGTAAAGTATTCACTTCTCTCAGGTGTACAACTACTGTGTAATTAGAAACCTTAAAACAACGTTACGTAAATTTCCCTAATGGAGAATTTGAAGCCAATTCTTAGCCTTGTATTTTGAATAGTCAACAGTATACAGTTGTGAAAGTGATTGCAGTGGGAATTGAGAAAGAGTGTTTTTTTTCAGTCACTTTTGTTGGTTATGCATGTAAAATGTTCCCTAAGATTATGCAATATAAATCTGCAGAGTGGACAATAAGAATTTTAAGCAGAAATCTGACAGCTACGAGCAATAATTATGATATTCCATTGGTATTTCTATTTACTTATGAGAGGCAGCCTATCTTTGGGGTCTTTCAGATTTTCTTTAGACACAGGAAAAACAAACAAACAAACATACATACAAGACCAAGAAATCAGAAATAACTAGGTTCTAAAAATTAGAAAGCAGAGGATTATGTGAGATACAAAAGAGTAACAAAGCCTAAAATTAATTCACCAATAAGCCATTAAAAGTAAAAAAGCCTCACAAGATCATTGCAAAATATATTCCACAATGATCTTTAAGAATAAAGTCAATAATTCAAGATGCTTTGGCTGTCACTTCTAAAATGAATTTGAAGTTGAAAGCATTGTGAATATTAATTTTAAGTGTCTTGGCATAGTGTCCAAAATTTTCCATAACAAAGGTGGTAAAATGGCAGGAAGTGAGAAGTGAAGAAACTGTTAGTGAAGTCTTAAGATCCCAGGACCTTTATAACATGAAAAACATGCAAACATAATACCTATATTTCATTCCTATAAACAACTGTTCAAAGCTAGATAGAATGTATCTTTCCTACTCTTGTCACCACTGGCTTTTTTTCTTTTTTTTTCTGGAGACGGAGTCTTTCTCTGTTGCCTACAGTGGAGTGCAGTGGCGCGATCTCAGCTCACTGCAACCTCCGTCTCTTGGGTTCAAGCAATTCTCCTGCCCCAGCCTCTCAAGTCGCTGGGATTACAGGTGCCTACCACCATGGCTGGCTAATTTTCTGCATTTTTAAAGTAGAGATGGGGTTTCGCCATGTTGGCCAGGCTGGTCTTAACTCCTGACCTCTGGTGATCCACCTGCCTTGGCCTCCCAAAGTGCTGGGATTACAGGCTTGAGCCACCGTGCCCGGCCTCCACTAGTTTTCTAAATCTTTGAACCCCAAAATGACTTGGTGCCCAGTAGAAAAGCTAAGCAGTTCACAGCTTAAGAGGGAAATCTGACACCCGAGCTCCTGTTTTCATAATGGTGGCTGCCTAGTAAGGGGGCTGGGCTGTGTGAACCACCTGCCAATGGCAGCTGAGCAAGAAAGACACTGAAAAGCTATGTAATTGAACACTTAATTTCTACTTTGTATTTTTCTTCCTAACAAAAGAAAGCAAAGTTTCCCAGAACAACTTGAAAATAAACAACAAAATTATCAATTGAAAGTCCCAAGTTTCAACATGCAAAGCTCTACCTCGAGCCAGTTCCTAGGGGATTTCAATGGAAATTAATGTATGAACAAGAAAGGCTGGTTCCAGAAGGAATCTTAGCCATATTTTGCAGTGGCTTTCTCTCAAATTTGCTGGCTTCCCATATGCTTTAACTGTTACTGGGCTGCTGCAGGAAAACAAAACTTATGACACATAATCCCAACACGCACAAGGCATAACAGATACAAACATAAGTCCACAGATGACTTAGCATAAAGACTTAGGACATTATCATCCTATCTTATTTAGTCTCCAACTTAACTGCAGTTACATGAGATCAGTTACCTAGCCATACGTCTCAATATCTGCCAGTTAGATGGGTACAGTGGAGACGCTTGGCTCCCATTACCATGGTACAAAGATCCCTCTCCAAGGTCTTGACTCTCCTCAGACTGGTAATCTTTTCTCTCCTTTGCCAGAGCAGTCCAAACCAAGCTAATTATGTAAGGGCAGAGGCCACCACCACATAGGTGCATTAACACACTGCCCCTTGGTATAGATTCTTAGAGCACAAAATAAGAAACATTAAAGCAATTAAATGAAACTGTTCAGTCTCTGAAAGGTAACAGAGAAATTCTACTTAATGGAAGAGTGGTAATAAAAAACATCAGCACTCTTCCATTACTGAGCACATTTCATGGCATGGAGAGGATCCTCCTGGGGGCTTGGGTGTACTTAAGCTGCTCCAAGGATAGCTCAAGGGATTAAAATAATAAGGATTTGATTACCCTTTCACTGAAAGGGTCTAATTTGTTCAGGCTGAGTGTCATTCTGTCATTTCTCATAAACTAAAGGAGAAACAAAATTATTGTTTCTATCTTAGTTTTCACATGAGATACAGACACTTTCTTGAGAGTAATACTAGCTAACTCTTGGGTCTAGTGGGCTGGCTTTCGATTTGAGAGGAGCAAGAATATTCTTCACTTTGGTTTTCCATTCTGGATATTGAATGGAGGTTAAGAGAAAAGAGGCCCTTTTGAACTGAACCTATCTTGCTGTGATCTAGGCCCAGGGCCAGAATTTCAAAGAGTGTGATATGTGCTTCTCTCAAGAGCCTTTTACTTTGGGAAATGCTCTTAACATTGTGTACCACCCTGAAGTGCCCCACTGCTATGCAGAATGGCTTTCAGGTCAGCATTTCTTCAGCTCTAATATGCTCTCTCCAGTACCTGCCTTGGTAACAATGACTTAGGGATCCAAGTTTCATTTGGAATACAATAGGTTTCTTTACTATTCACAAACCAAATAGTTTACTTAACTACCAACACATTTTGTTGACATCTCGGGCAACCAGGCCCATTTTTACTTTCAACACTGTGTCGTTTATGCTACGTAGCATGGCACTGTGCTGTCAAGAATGCTAGACTATGACACAGAAGGCCTGGGTTTCCGTCACAATTCTGCCTCCAATTTAATTCAGTAAGTGATTCTGGGTAAATTCTTTCCATTCTATATACCGTCTTAGGCAAGTCACTTTCCTCACTGACAAAATGAGGTGGTCACTTGAGAGGATCACTAAGTTTCAGTGTTTTACTCCTCATAGGATAAGTAAAGGGAAATAAGTATGTATTTAGGATCTATGGTCTTTAGACAATGCAAGATATTTGCTCTTTTATTAAAAACTTACTCATACCTCTGCTCGAGCCATTTTACCCACCCTGAGGTCTCCACAAAACCTAGGTCATTTTAAAGTCCTGATTGAATTACTCCTTTCCATGGGCTCCTTCTGTGGCTGCTTTTCACCCACAGTGCTTTCTATTTTTCTGAACTTCTATTATACTAAGAAGTTATATGTAAGAAAATTACTGGGTAACAGTGTTTAAAAACAGTTTTAAAACTTTCAAATCAGTTCTTTTATATTGCAATTGTTCTAAAATTATCTAATTTAGGAAACATATTATTCAGTGAAAAATAAAAATGGCTAAAGTAAGGGACATTAATTGGGTCAACACGCTTACTAAAGGAGCTTTATCCTGCTGTGGGCATACCAACACATGGATTTACAGAACCTACTGTATAACCTTTTAAGAAACAACTGTTCGCTCTCCATCTGCTCACTCCTTTTTTTGTTTGGTTTAACATGTGTCTAGTCTAATCCTGTAACAGGGAAACATAGAGACTCACTTCTTTTCACAAATCACAGACATTACAGAAATTCATATTATACTAATGTATCTGAATAAACACCTTCACTTCTCAAATTATCAGCAGCAGGTTCTACGATACAGACTAAATCTACATGTTTTCTGACTGCAACTATCAAGTTTACTGAAGACAAAAATGTCGCATATAGTTTGGCCAGCAAAATTCATAGTGATGAAATGAGTCAGATGATTGACACCTATTCAGACGACTGACTAGAAAATGTGAGCTCTAATGTTTCAGATTACTGTCCAAATTCTCTTTGGTAACTCTTAAGGATAGAGAAGCTATAAAATAGAGAAAAAAAGAAGTACGGAAATTTCATGATATTGATAGTTGGGCACACAGGCAAAGAAAGATAGAATTATACAAATGTCTGCTAATATGAAAAGTTTGCAACATTATTATGATTTACAATACAAAGAATACATACAAAGTTTCTCCAGCAAAAAAACATAACATTTCATCCGAATTAGAGCATAGAATGTCATATATAATTACATTTATATGGGATCTATCTGAAGAATAAAATGCAAATATTTACTATGTTTCTCACTTTATAGTTCACAGATGGTAATAACATCTATTTGACCTGTGAATCTGAATCTTTTCTCTATGTTTTAAGGTAACCAACATTTCCTTGATTTGGTAAAAAAACAAATACATGTAAAATAGTACATCAGAAAATTCTTTTTGTTCAAATTCCCAGTTATTTCAGGTCAACTTTGAATAGATTCTTGTACAAAAATAATCACTTATGGAATACCTTCTCAAGGTAAGGGTATCATGATAGGTGGTATAGGGTTGGATATAAAGATGAAAACTAGACTGTGCATGTCCGCAAAGAAATTACAACCAAAGAGTGTGAGCCCTTGAATTACCTCAAAACCCCTAGGTCAGATCAGCTAAGCACATAAGAGAAGTATAGAGAGCCATGAAGGTTAAAGGAAGTTGGAGGAAACAAAAGTTTGAAGGAGGAAACATAATTTGAAATAACACACACACCTAAATCCCATACACACAGAAACATAGGCCTAAATCCTATCAACGGGGCTGAACCAAGTGGGAGGAAAGAAACCAGTATACAAACACGTGCTAGCAAAGTGAGGGAATAGGAAAGGAGGTGTAAGAACTGAGACACTGGGCAGGGCATGGTGGCTCATGCCTGTAATCCCATCACTTTGGAAGGCCAAGGCAGGTGGATCACGAGGTCAGGAGATCGAGACCATCCTGGTTAATACGGTGAAACCCCGTCTCTACTAAAAATGCAAAAAAATTAGCCGGGTGTGGTGGCACGAGCCTGTAGTCCCAGCTACTTGGGAGGCTGACACAGGAGAATCGCTTGAACCTGGGAGGCAGAGGTTGCAGTGAGCCGAGATTGTGCCACTGCACTCCAGCCTGGGCAACAGAGTAAGACTCTATCTCAAAAACAAAACAAAACAAAACAAAACAAACAAAAAAATGAGATACTGGTGCTTGTGCTCTATCGACATTGTAGCTGAACAGTTCATTTTAAGCAAATGCTGGATTCTTTAAATAACAACTTTTCTGAGAGTCAGATTAAAGTATGTGGTGATGATAAACTATGGTCAAGTTATAGCTTTCAGCTAGCCCTGATTTCTATACTTCATTCCAAATTCCAGCCATCTTTGGCATTTAAAGCCAATAAAATTCTTAGATCACAGGAAAGGATTGAGGTTAGGGGCTGTAGTTCAATGACAGACACACAACGTAAGTGTCTGCCATATGCTAAGAACCCCCAAGCTAAAGTATCTCATTTAATCTGAATTATGATATAGGAAATACTCTGCATTCCTTAAAAAAAAAAATCCAGTAGCATTTCAAAAAGCAACATTATTATAAATACATATATATGGTATGTAGACAGATGGCTAATTACCTCATGATCATGAGTGGCCTGCCGGGCTGCATCTAAAAATATAAAAGAATAAGAGAACATTACATTTAAAAAGAAAGCAATAACCAAATCGAAGTGTATGACTGTGCCAAACTATAAAACCTGCTGATATATGTAGATTCTCATAACATATTATATTTTTCCTTAAGGCTTTATTAATCGGTCAGCCAACAAAAGTAAGGGAACCCCATACCTACAGAATTAGAATTCATAATTAGGCATAAGAGAAACAGCAGACACACTTTTTAACTTTAGGAGAACAGGGTGAAAGAGTAGACAGAAGACACAAACCAAAGACTACTTGTACAACATCTATAATTTTAGCAGGCCAGATGCCCAAGTAGAGAGAAGATGTGATGGCTAAGGAAAAATAGACTAGTTGTGGATGGTGCTTCAAAAATGACACATGAAAGTCTTAGAAGTGTTAAAGGCAAGTTACTGTTACTGATATAATTTTGTAGATAGGTTTGCTTATAGGCAGAGAAATGCTTAAACTGGGAATCAGGAAAAGGGCAGGCAGGCAACTAACAGGGGTCTTGGAGGACAAGCCAAAATCATCGATAACAGACATGGAAACCCAGTTGAAATTTCTAAATGAGAGCAATGTGATTTTAATAAAATTCCAAAATAATGCTTGTAAGTGAATACTGGATAGTGGAGAGAAAACAGAAACACGTCTTTTCTAGTTACCACTCTTAACAGTTGGTTTTATGACACTCCATCACCCACAACAAATTACAAACACATTTGGTTCTGGTTTTGATACCTTGCCTATGAGATTTGCCTTTCTGACGGTCCTGGGTTTTCCTACTGAAGACCTTGTAGGCCTCAGTTTTCTGATACTGTTCCAGTTCCTTCATGTAGCGCTCCTTATCTCTGTCTGCTTCATCAAGGTAGCGCTAGGAAAGAAACACAGAATTATTTTCAAGAAAATGAGATCTTATTTAAATAAAATTAAACTACCTATTTGAAGAAAATGGGACAATTAGAACATGGGAAGAAAAGAATATAGGGAATATGCCTTAAAAAAGAATCAGAAAAATAAGAGTTGTATGAATAGAATAAAATATAACCTCTCAATTATAAAAGAAAGAAGTCATTATGAGTTTTTAGACTAATTATTGCCTTTTCTAACCTAATGAAGACAAGTTCTATTGAGATCATTCTTATAAAAAATTCATGAAGATGATTAGAGTTATTCTTCTAACTGTATAGATAGAACTCTACATGGCCACTAGAGCCATCCTCATGAGATCTGCACACCACATAGGCACACTTAGTCTTCCCAGGGGAAGGAATAGAATATTACTTTGTTTTGCTGTCTCCAGCCCATTTTGAGGGGATGATGTCATACATCAATTGGCCCTTTAAGAGCCAGAAGATTGGAGCAATGAAGCTAGGAGACACAAAGAACATAAAAATAATGATCTCATCCTATGGACCTAAAAATGGACTACTCTGAGAGAACCTCTATCTACATGCTTTGATTGCTTTGTGCTATTAATTATTTAAACAAAGTTCATTGCTCTACCAGGATTATTTTGTTTAATGCTTTGCCCTTTTCATTCATCAAAAGGAAGTATAAGAAAGTATAAAAATACTGCTTCTAAGTGAATGGAAAACACACTCAGAAATTATATTAAACACCTTGTCCCACATAAGAGCCAGATGTAGGGGATGCCCAACTGGCCAAATCTGGTACAATTTAAGCACCAAAATAATTAAGTATAGTAATACAATATAAACTAGTAGAAGAAACTTCATACGATTATTAGTATGATTTATAATAGACATAATACCAATGATTTGTTACCATACAAATACAATAAATGGGGGTATACATGGGGGTAGGAGCATGGTGGCTCACGCCTATAATCCCAACACTGTGGGAGGCCGAGGTGGGTGGATCACTTGAGGTCAGGAGTTCGAGACCAGCCTGGTCAACATGCTGAAACCCCATCTCTACTAAAAATACAAAAATTAGCTGGGCGTGCGTGGTGGTGCATGCCTGTAGTCCCAGCCACGTGGGAAGCTGAGGCTAGAGAATCACTTGAATCTGGGAGGCGGAGGGTGCAATGAGCTGAGATTGCACCACTGCACTCCAGCTTGGGCGACAGAGCAAGACTCCATCTCAACAAACAAACAAACAAACAAACAAATAAATAAATGGGGGTAGGGGATCGGGCATGGTGGCTTATATCTGTAATCAAAGGATGTTGGGAGGCTGAGGCAAGAGGATTGCTTGAGCCCAGATGTTTGAGTCCAGGCTGGGCAACAAAGTGAGATCCCGTCTCTACAAAACATAAAATAATTAGCCAGGTTTGGTGGTATGTGCTACTCAGGAGGCTGAGGTGGGAGGGGTGCTTGAGCCCAGGAGGTCAAGGTTGCAGTAAGCCGAGATCTTGCTTAGATTAGAATGCTGAAGGCTAACTGGTAAATGTGAAGGGAGTGCTGGAGTTGGAAAAATCATCACGTTGTAACCATAATGATAAAGATTAAATCAGGCAAAAATAATCAATGGATGCTAAATCTAGGGGAAAATGTTGATGTAGAACACGCTATTTGCATGTTCTTAAATTGTCTCCCCATAGATTACTAATGACAAAGGAGAATTTAAATCAGGTACCAGGTAAGCAAAATTAATATTACCAGTGAGAAACAAAAGGACATTGTGTGCCTGCATATGTGATATACCGCCTATGCAAGTCATTCCACCAAGAATGCGTAACCTCAATCTAATCATGAGGAAACATCTGAAAAATACACAATAAGCAATGTTCTGTTAAAGGTAAAAGAAGCAGGGGAAGCAGAAGGGAACTGTATTTTAAAAAAATATCAATGTTATAAAAGAAAAAGAAAGACTATGGAAATATCCCAGTTTAAGCTAAAGAAACTTGACTACTAAACACAAAACCTGACCCTAGACTGGAACCTGTTCTGGAATGGAAAAATGTTATAAAGAAATGAGGTTAGGTCAACATATGGATGACAGATTAAAGTATTGTTAATGAAAAATTATGAAATTGATGACTATACTATGGTTATATAAGAAAACATTCTTTGAAATAAACACTGAAATATTCTGGGGGTAAAGGGCTACAATGTATATAATTTATCCTCACATGATTAAAACAAAATTTTGTGTGTCTGGGTGTACACATGCAAGTGTGTGTGTGTGAGAGTGAGAGAGAGAGAGAAAGACTGAGCACGCAAAAGTGTAAGAAAGACTGAGCATATTATAAGTGCATATCGAAATGGAGAAATGGAATAAAATGTGTTAACAATAGGTGAATCTGGGCAAAGAGTGTTTGGATGTTCTTTGTACTATTTTTATGTTTGTAACTTTTTGTACATTTGAAATTATTTCCACAAAAAAGTTAATAAAACAAAAACAAACACAAAACCTTTGTCCTACGTAATAGTGGTTATCCCAAGAAATAACCACTGTTATTTTTACATTTTTGTTTATACACTTCTGTATTCTCTGAAAAGGATCTAAATAATGAGCACATGTTAATTTTAAAATAAAGAAAAATAAAAAAGAAAAGAATAACATAGTGTGTACAGCCCACTATCCTTTTCTACAGTAGTGCCAAAACAATGGATAATATTCACTGCCTTCTGCTAGCTTGCTACTACTAACACAGAGCTTCAAAAGTTGCAACTGAATCTGATCTCTTTGAAAATTTCTGAAGTCAATTAATTCCCAGGGGAGTATTTTTCAATTTGGTTTTAGTGTGTCTGGAATCCTTTCTAAAAAGTGTAAGTCATAAAAGAGTTTAAGACATAAAAGAAATACAGATATCTTTCAGATGCTGGGAATGCTGGGAACTTTTAACCCAAAGCAACTCCCACAATCATGACCATTTAGTGGTATTTCAACCAGCTCATGGCTATCTTGTCCTTAATTCCTCTCGAATCTCTAACAAATGGATTCATTTCAGTTTGCCAATCAGGTTAGTTTCTGTCTTAGAGGAGAAAGAATTCAAGTTGTTCTTGCTTTATTTTCAATAGCAGGTTAATTTGCCAGAACTCTAGTTTAAAAAATGTATTAAAGCAGTAACATTTTTTTCTTAAAAATCTTATGTGAACTGCAGAATTGTGTCAAGTGACTTTTTCTCATTTAATTCACAACTTTTCATTTAACTCAGTGGAATATATTTTATTGGTAGATTTCTTAATACTGAACCACTTACAAAAATCTTATGTGACCTCAGCGCATAAAAAGTGGTACTGCTTTGGTTGAGGGGAGTCCTAGACTCCTTCCCTGCTCACACCTCTCGAACAAATAGTTTAAAAATCACTAAGTTAGAGAAAACTGCTATGATGGACCCTGCTTTTCTGGTCGCCTAGGCACTGTGACAAAATTGCAGAATCAACTGTCCATCCTCTTTGCTTTTCTTTTGGAAGTTATTTCTGAGATATAATCAAAACCAAACAAAGAGTCAGGAATAAGAACAATTACCTGTTTTTCCTCAGGAGGCAGTTTACTCCATTCATTGCCTAACATCCTTGTGATTTCTGGAAATGGGACTTCTGGTCTCTTTGCTCGAAGCTGTTCTCGACGCTCATTCATGAACCGAACATATCCTGTAAGAGGGGATTTGGGTGCATTGCTGTCTCGAAGAGGTTTCTTCCTCTTTCTTCCTTTGGACCAACCTCCTCGTTTACTTCGTTGCTACAAAACAAAACAAAATAAAAAACCAAAAACCAAACAACAACCATCTCCCAAAATAACCCAACAACAACAAAAATAAACAACAACCAACAAAACAGGATTAAGAGTTGCAATTTGGCCCTGGATATTCAAAGCTCTCCATATCTGTTGTAGATATTATAAATGACAGCAATGCAATTTTCGAGGAACTCCAAATGCTTCACTTGCAAACTCTTTTACATACCACACTACAAAATCTTGCATTAAAGGGCTATTTTTGTGCTAATCACAATGTGTGAGAATAAAAGGTGCCATGATCACTCAGCTTTGACCTTCATATGCATATGACTGTCCCACAGACAACTGTCAGGTCCTGATTCCTGACAGGAGAGTGTCCAAATGGGAAATACAGCAGCACATGCAGCATTGTGGTAGAGAGGCAGACGTTGTCAGATCAGAGTGAGATGGTGTCACACGCACCAGGCAAAGGAAGAAACAAGTTGTAGCAGAGATTAAAAATAACTCACAAAGGGAGCTGCTCATTGGTAACTTTCAAAGACTAGCTTATTTCCCATAGCAGATAGCAAATGGAGTATTACATTAATATCTAAGTCTCAGAAAAATTTCAGTAAGTATATCTGAAATGAAGATGAGGTCTTTGGCTTGACAATTTGTTCCTTTAGATGTATATTTAATTTTAATTTTTTTTTTTTTTTTGAGGTAGAGTTTTGCTCTTCTTGCCCAGGATAGAGTGCAATGGTGCTATCTCGGCTCACTGCAACCTCTGCCTCCCAGGTTCAAGCGCTTCTCCTGCCTTAGTCTCCCAAGTAGCTGGGATTACAGGCATGCACCACCACACTCAGCTAATTTTTGTATTTTCAACAGAGATGGGGTTTTGCCATGTTGATCAGGCTAGTCTTGAACTGCTGACCTCAGGTGATCCAACCACTTCAGCCTCCCAAAGTGCTGGGATTATAGGCATGAGCCTCTGCACCCAGCCTAGATGTACATTTCGTAGTCAGAGGTCTTTATATGTTGAGTTACCAGTTAAATCAAAAGATTGAATCACCTCTGAAAAAAACTAAAGAAACGAAAAGGACTGAGGTACCACTGATGTTTCACCAGAGCCCTTTTTCTTGGCCCTTTAAATAAGATGTAAGGTACATCATATTTTTACTTCATAATTTTACAAATACACACAGCCCTATCAGTTAATGTTTCATGGAAACAATAATTCTTATTTCAGACAGGAAAAAGATAAATAAACAAGGACAAAAATATCTAAATACTAACTGTAGTACTCTATTCCTCCAAATGTATATAAAATAAAATGGTATGATAATTCACCATTGGGCAAATTATGTATTTGGTATTAGTTTTTTTTTTTTTTTTTTTTACCTAGTTACATTAAAGTTACTATGGGCTGGCACGGTGGTTCACACCTGTAAACCCAGCACTTTGGAGGGCCAAGGCAGGCGGATCACTTGAGGTCAGAATTTCGAGACCAACCTGGTCAACATGGGGAAACTCCATCTCCACTAAAAATACAAAATTGCCCGGGCATGATGGCATGCGCCTGTAATCCCAGATACTTGGGAAGCTGAGGCAGGAGAATAGCTTGAACCTGGGAAGGCAGAGTTTGCAGCGAGCTGAAATTGTGCCACTGCACTCCAGCCTGGGCAACAGAATAAGGCTCCATCTCAAAAAAAAAATTTGGGTTTAAGGTATTTAAGAAGCTTTAAGCATTCATTATAATCTTTTAAAATGCCAATAGGAGAGATAAAAAATTAATTTTTTTTTGTTTGAGACAAAGTCTCACTCTGTAGCCCAGGCTGGAGTGCAGTATCTTGGCTCACTGCAACCTCTACCTCCAGGTTCAAGAGATTCTCCTGCCTCAGCCTCCCAAGTAGCTGGAATTACAGGCACCTACCACTGTACCTGGCTAATTTTTTGTATTTTTTAGTAGAGACGGGGTTTCACCATGTTGGCCAGGCTGGTTTTGAACTCCTGACCTCAGGTAATCCGCACACCTTGGCCTCCCAAAGTGCTAGGATTACAGGCATGAGCCACCAGGCCCGGCCAGCTTTTTTAAAATAAGAAAAAAGACAAAAATCAATGGTGGCACTCTTTATTGGCTAAAAAAAAAAAAAAAAAAAAAAAAAAGAGTGCCTTAAAACACTGACAATGTAATCAGTTATTTGTAAGAAACACTGAAAGTCCAACAAGGGCATGACTGCCCAGGCTCATATGCCTTTGTGTGAGTTAGGGAAAGGTACTCCCTATGGGAGGGTGAAGGATTTGGTAAGTAGTATGAATCCTTTGGGCACACAGGGCTCCAGGCAGCAGGGCTTGGTGAGCGGAGTGTGGCCTTGAGTAAGGGCATGTACACTTCTTATTACTTACTTATTAATGATTAAATCATTCACTCATTCAACAAGTATTTGTTGAACATCTAATATGAGGTAGGTATTTCTTAGGGAACAGGGAAAGAAGAGTCTACCTGTCTATGCCATTAAAATTATTAATATGGTTCCTTATAAAACAAGAAATAGAAAACAGAAAATTTTGCAGGTATCAGCCTAAGAATATAAGAAGGTTAGATGATCAACACCTTGATCAACACACCTTCCTTGTGACTGCCTCTTCAGAAGTTTCAGAGGATAGGAACAGAAGGAGATACTTCAGCTTACCTCATCTTCATGCCTCTGTTCATTGCCTTCTGCTGCATTTGAAGACTCACTCTGAAGCAACTGACCTTGGGAGAGATCCTCCACAAATTCTGGATTGTTGGTGGATGATGTAGCGCCACTACTGTATGGAACCTCTGGGTGATTTAACCTGAATAATAGGCAGAAGTATCAACAACACAAAAACTCCACCTGTTTACTAAGGTTCTAGATAAATTTCCCTGCCAGCAAAAGCACATGCCAGTCCTTGAATTAATTCCCCCAGTAATCTGTATAAATGTAAACAATGTCTTCACAGAAGTTACAGGGTGTTTTAAAAAACTGGTTTCAGTGCTTTATTAAGCCAGGTCAGTTCCATGAAGACATCTCCTACCAAAACCAACTATAATCTTCTTCAAAAAGATGATCTCCTCTAAACACAGACTTCATGTTTTAGTTCTGAATATGCAGTAGAATCTGACTTTTACATGCTACCTTTCATGTATCTCCAATGTAAAGGGAAAACACTATTAATGAAAAAAGTGAATAGCAATGGGAGTTGTAGAGGCAGTTTGCCAACGATCACAAAAGAGTTCTTAAAGGGTGTAAGAAAAAATCTCTTAATGGTACATTTCATTGGCTATTTCTTCTTGGATTATAGCGTTTACTGACAATTAGATCATCTAAGAACAATATCAAGTTCAGTAAGTTCAGGTATACATGTTAATAAATCAGACAGATGTACTTATTTCCTGCTCCCACTATACTGTTCCAGATGAGTTAGTAAACCAGATTTCACCCTTCTGAAGAGCGAACACAAGAAGCTACAGATGATGGTAGGGTCTTAGGTGGACTTATCTTATTACATGTGGACAAAGGAATAGAAGGAAAGGTAACGCCATGTGCTAATGAGTATTTTTGTTTTCGTTTTTGACCGAGGGAGGAGTTGGGAAAGCAAGAGTGGTAGAAAGATGGATAATAGAGTAATATTCAGTCATTATTCTGAAAGAATGCACAACCCATAGTGTTACAGAGAATCATTACAATGCAACATAAGTAAAATAAAGGCTTGTTAAAAGTACCATAGAGGTATGGTAGAGCGTATGATGAATTTTGTATGTATGGAGGGATGTGAAGAAAGAATTTATAAAGGAGGTCCTAAAAGATGAGTATGTATTCATCAAGGTAAACAACACCATTCCAGATAGAAAGAACTGGGTATAAAAGGAGAAAGGGAGACTATCAAGAGGTTACTGTAATAGATTAAGTGAGAGACAAAGGCAGGCAGGATTCCGAGCAGAAGGAAAGCTAAGAGATACTTAAGAGGCAGAATGGCTAGGTGTGGTGCCTCACGCCTGTAATCCCAGCACTTTGGGAGGCTGAGGCAGGTGGATCACTTGAGGTCAGGAATTCAAAACCAGACTGGCCAACATGGTGAAACCCTGTCTCTACTAAAAATAAAAAAATTAGCTGGGCATGATGGCAGTGTCTGTAATCCTAGCTACTGGGGAGGCTGAGGCAGGAGAATCACTTGAACCTGGGAGATGGAGGTTGCAGTGAACCGAGATCACGCCACTGCACTCCAGCCTGGATGACAGAATAAGACTCTGTCTCAAAAAAAAAAAAAAAAAAAAGGTAGAATGGAGAGAACTTAATAACTGGTTGACTTTAATAGTGAAAGAAAAGAAGAGTCAAAGTTAATTCTGAGGCTTCCAATTGATGGTTATGTACTTAATATTAACCAAGGTAAGAACAGGGGTATGTATGTGTGTGTGGACAGACAGACAAGAAAATGATAAATGTGAAACACTTGTAATATAATTAAGTAGAAATGTACTACAGACAACTGGAAACATGCCCCAGGAAAACAGAAGTGGAACAAAAGGGCATAAAGATAGACTTGAGAGGCGTTGCCCATGGAAATAATGGGCAGTGCTAGATATTCTCCAGAAAGACAGTGAGAAGAAGGAAAAGTCAGGATAGAACTCGGCTGAAGCAATATCATTGTATGAGCAAGGTAAAAAAACTAGGAAGGAGATTGAGAAGGGCATTAAGATAACTGGAGAGAAGACGACTGCAGAGGCCAAGGCAGGAAGACTTTTGAGAAGGGTAGTGGCTAATCAAGTAAAAAGTTGCAGATGTTAAATAAGATAGGCCAAAAAGTATCTGCTAAATTTGAAGACCTGAAGGTCACTGCCAATTTTAGTTAAGTATAGTTTTAGTGGAATTATGAGAATAAATCCCAGATTACAGTGGACCGAGAAATGGATGAAAACAGGAAGCAGACTGTCTTGGTACTGAAAGCAATTATACTTTTCTGACCCTTTCTAGGAAACATAATAGATGATTTTAGCAGGAGATTCCTACATTTTTGAGGTCCTTTAAAAAAGGTTAAGTAAAAGAAGCTATGAAATCAATGCCAATCATTTTCGCTGAAAAGAGGTACCATCGAGATCCAGTTTGATCTCTGCAGGGCTGTTTTCCAAATATTTCAATCATTTTGGATGTGTTAGACAACTTGTTCTTTCACTGTCATTTTCATTTCAACTGTGCCATCAATTTTTAAGTTACTAATTCTTGTACATTCTTATTTCGGTAAAATATAAGAACTAGGTTTGGGAAAGAGTAGCAATCCTATGAATCCCTGACTTAAGTGGACAGGAATCACTTGGGAATTCACACGGGAAAACAGAATCCCATGAATCCCTGACTTAAGTGAACAGGAATGGCCAAGGCATCACATGCCTTCTTGTTGACAAGTTGGACGAAGACTGGAAAAAAAAAAAAAGGGGATCTTTTGTTACCATGAATAAACTATCCATGTTCCTAGCTAAAGCCAACAACCCTTCTATTTGCACCCTTGATCTCACATACTCTTGTCTACCCAGGGGCAGATTTTCAGCAATTCTGTCCTTTCTGGCAATACAAATTCTTTTCTCTCTACAGGATCAGTCTAATCAGCATATACGTATGACATTAATTCTCTTAACACAAAACAAAATGAAAAGAAAAAAACTCAATCCTACTTCCAGTTAAGGTCCCAATTTTTCTCCTTTCCTTTATAGCACAACCCCTGGAAATAACTTGTTTATACTTACTGACTTCTCCTCCCTTAAGCCCACTTCAAAGGAGATTTGTGTTTACAACTCTTGTCAAAGCCACCAATGACACCCATGCTAAATCCAGTGTCATTTCTCAGCCCCCATCTTACCTGATGTACCAGAAGCATCTGACACGTTGATCTTTTCCCCTTCCTTGAAATACTTTTATTTTTCACTTGGGTTCCAGGACCCTTCACTCTTCTGGCTTTTCTGCTACCTTTCTAGCAACTTGTTTTAGACTGTATTGACTCTTCCTATTCTTTCTTTCTTTCTTTTTTCTTCTTTTTTTGAGACAGAGCTTGCTCTGTCACCCAGGCTGGAGTGCAGTGGCACAATCACAGCTCACTGCAACTTCTGCCACCTGGATTCAAGCAATTCTCCCACCTCAACCTCCCAAGTAGTTGGGTGTGGTGGCACGTGCCACCACACCTGGTTGATTTTTGTATTTTTAATTAGAGACGGGGGTTTCACCATGTTGGCCAGGCTGGTTTCGAACTCCTGACCTCAAGTGATCCACCCACCTCAGCCTACCAAAGTGCTGGGATTACAGGTACGAGCCACTGTGCCCGGCCTCTGTCTGACTTTTAAATGTTGGAGTATCCCAGAGCTCAGGCTTTAGATCTCTTCTTTCTTCCATCCATAGAGTGCTCATTTCTTTGGTGATCTCACTCAGTCTCGTGGCTTTGAATGTTATATGCTGATAAATCCCAACTTTCTGTCTCGCCTAAACATCCCCCTAATAGCAGAACCTGATATCAAAGTGCATATGTGACATCTCCACTTAGATATCTAATAAGCATCTCTAATGTAAAATTTCCAAAACTGAGCTCCTACAACTCCCTCCCACACTTGTTCTGTTTTCCCCAACTAAGCTAACGGCAACTCCATCCCTTCAGTTGCTTTGGCCTAAACTTTTGAGTTGTCTTTGACTACTTTTTTTCTCCTTTCTTACATTCCTCATCCTTTCTTTCAGGCAAATTCTGTTTGGTATACCTTCAAAATATATCTAGAATTCTATACTTCTCACTACCCCTCATTCCCATTATTTTTGAAACACACTCCAATGAGGTTTTTGCCCCTACTATTCCACCAAAAACACTCTTGTGAAAGTCACCCGATGATGGTTCTTCAGGCTATCATCTGTTTCCTGAATTATTTTAAGAGCCTCCTAACTGGTCTCCTCGTTCCAGCCCCTGCTCCCTTCACTCTATTCTCAATACAACAGTCAGAGGGATCTTATTAAACCGTAAGTCAGATCATATAATTCTGCCTGAAACCCTCCAATGCTCTCCCACTTCAGAGTAAAAGTTAAAGGGTTTATTTTGATCTCTAAAAAACATTTTGATCCCTATGATCTAGTCTCTTCTTACCCAAAGTATGGGTCTCATACCAACAGAACTGGCATTCTCTGGGAGCTTGTCAGAAATGTAGAATCTCTGGTCTTCAGATTTTCTAAATCAGAATCTGCATTTTCTTTTTTTTTTTTTTTTTTGAGACGGAGTCTCACTCTGTCGCCAGGCTGGAGTGCAGTGGCGCGATCTCGGCTCACTGCAAGCTCCACCTCCCGGGTTCACGCCATTCTCCCGCCTCAGCCTCCGAGTAGCTGGGACTACAGGCGCCCGCCACCACGCCCGGCTAGTTTTTTGTATTTTTAGTAGAGACGGGGTTTCACCATGTTAGCCAGGATGGTCTTGATCTCCTGACCTCGTGATCCACCCGCCTCGGCCTCCCAAAGTGCTAGGATTACAGGCTTGAGCCACCGCGCCCGGCCGAGAATCTGCATTTTCATCAGCTCTCTTGGCAATTCATGTTTGAGAAGCACTGATGTGATCCTCTACTGCCTCTTCTGCTGCTATGTGTGCTCTAGCCACACTGGCCTCCTGGCTATTTCGGTAAGATGGAAACTCTCCTGCCTCAGGGCTTTTGCACCTACTGCTCCCTCTGCCTAGGATAATCTTCCCCAGAAAACTGCATGCTAGTTGCCTTATTTCCTTCAGGTCTTTATTCAAGTCACTTTCTCATTAAACACTTTCTGGGCCATCCTGTCTAAAACTGCATCCCCAAACCCTTCCTATCCCTTTTCTCCACTTTTTTCTTTTTTAAAACTATAGTTCTACTTTGGGAGGCCGAGATGGGCGGATCACGAGGTCAGGAGATCGAGACCATCCTGGCTAACACATGAGACCCCGTCTCTACTAAAAAATACAAAAAACTAGCCGGGCGAGGTGGCGGGCACCTGTAGTCCCAGCTACTCGGGAGGCTGAGGCAGGAGAATGGTGTAAACCCGGGAGGCGGGGCTTGGGCGACACAGCGAGACTCCATCTCAAAAAAAAAACCAAAACTATAGTTCTTATCAACATAATATGTGTTTTACTTATTTATCCTGTTTATTGTCTGATTCAACAAGTTGAATTTGAACTTTAAAGGGCCTATGATTTTTATCTGTTTTGATCAATGCTTTCTATCTAATGCCTAGAACAATGGCACATAGTAGATACTCAGAAAGTTTTTACTGAATGAATATAGTAACTAAGCAGCCTTTAGAAAAGTCTTGGAGAATACTTTCATCTGAGTAGTGAGGTCAAAGGCGGATATCAACGAGGTGAGAAATAAATGTGAGAGAAGGAAACAGAATTACAAAGTATAGCCTATTTTTTAAAGAGCTCCAAAGAATATTAAAATAATTCATCTTAGGGATTAGCTAGCACTTCAGTCTATTAGTGAACACATTTTCTCTTTGCCAAATAACCTCTAAATATCTAGAAAGGACAAAAATTCAAGTGGAACAGATTTTAAGGGAAGAGGTAGACTACTGTTATTAACCCTTTTCTGTATCTCTTTACATATTTCTCAAAAGATCCCACAGAACGGAGAACAAGGTGGGATGGGGAAAAGAACAGAAGTCAGCTGAAGTTACTAAGCATTTTGAATAAAGAACCACATTAAAAAACCTGATCTTTGGGAAAAAACTATTTTAATATCTATGGCAATTTGAACAGAAAATGCATTTGTTTTTTAGAGCTAGCTCTGTGGCAGGTATTTCCTTAACGGTGACTATATAATTTTCTTAACTGGAGTCACCAATGTTTGCTAGATTCCACATATTGTTGTATCAGTTCACAAAAACCAGAGCACTGCAAAAGATAATTGAATGCAGATTACAAAGTGGTTTATGATGGCTGTCACTCTCTCTGCAAAGTGAAACAAATGCACCCTCTATTCTTATGATATAAAACTGCCTCTTTAGGACTTCTTCCTTTGTTAGAAGTTTTGTTTTGAGGCCTATGGAGAAGTCCAATGTCCCAAAGCAGCTGCTTACCCAGTGGTAGCCAGATCATTACTCTCCTTGGAGCCATCTTCATCTGCAAAAAGGGGCGGCAGGGTGGAGCTAGTCATCAAGTTTTCCATCTCTCTGAAAGGAAAAGAGAATAGTAATAAAAAAATTAATGGCTTAATTACTTCCATTTCAAGTTCCACTAATTTAAGAGCCAGCCTTCCTGAACTTTATCACATAAGCAACAGAATAAAAACTGACCTAAATATTTATTTTCTTGACTTGGACACATCAATTTAAACTGTATGGTGAATGGGCCTTTTAACCTTGGTCTCATCAACTGACCAGACTGAAAACAAGTTAGGTTTTAACAACTGGGATGTGGTTTGGAAAATTCCTTTTTATTTATCCAGAGTATCTTCAAAAGTATTCATTTCCTGTAGAAATGGTTAAGCAGGGTAACTCAGAAGCACTGCCACTCTGAGCAAGTTATTTAAGCTCTTTGAGCTACAATTTCACCATCTTAGACTAAGACAAAATTGCTGACTTAATGCAAAGGGTTACTGTGAGGGATTAAAATGAAAGTGCTTCATAAACAGAGAAAGTCTAAGGTAGTAAGTGCATTGAGTATTATATAAAGAAAGGTATTGTTATTACAGCATTACCAGTTCTCAGTCCCAGATGAATCATCTGTAGATTAAATGGTGGCAAACTGAGCCCTCCAAAAGGAAATAATGCAAAGGAAGTAGAGGATGGAAGGCATGCTGATGTGGCTCTGAGTCAAAGAAACCACACTTCCAGGTCAGAAATATGCTCCACATACCATCATAACCAAGAGCAGAAATAGCATGCACCTGGGTACAGGAAACAACTAAGCTTAATTGAAGAAAACAAACAAATCACAAGAACTGAGGTTATCAGACTGAACGGACAAAAGGACAAAGTGAACAAAGAATAATTTCATTTAGCATATCACTATGACAAATGATTTTTGCCTTTCAAGGCTTACTACCAAGGGCATCATCCCATGTAGTTAAAAGCAGCAGCCTTCCCTTCATCATGAAAGGGATATTCAAACAAAACATTCAGCAGTGACCCCAAACATCAGCCACTTACGTAGAACTGCAAAGCACTCAAGAAAAAGAGTGCTTCAATCAACTGGGAGAATTGAGAAGCAAATTATGAGAATTCACTTAGGAGCTTCCTCAGGAGTTATTTCAGGTGCTGCTGCTAAGGAGACCTAGTGAAACAGCAATTAAAAGGAATGCACAGCAGCAAAGTAGAGCCAGGATCATTCCACTGAAGCGGAAATATGAAGAAAATGCCGATGACACCAAGACCACATTCTCCATGTTCAATGGAGTGATTTATTTCCAAAAGATAACATTGATGTTTTATTCCTTATTCTTACTTATTCTCACTTCTAAGTTTATTATTTAGCAGGCCAAGTTCCATAAATAGCTTGATGGGAAAAACACATCTTTGTACAAATATTACCCATTACAGTGGGTAGAGCATGCAAAGTAGAGAGGAACTTCTCACTCAACCAGAGTAAGCACTTTATTCTACTGCAGGAACACTTGCTACCTCTTTTCAGTTCCTTCAAGATAAGGTGTTAACAAGTGGAATAGCTCTAATAAATGCCACAAAATTCCATTCTACATGTTTTACTGAATAACTCTGACTCAAGTGTACTTAAGTTTTAATTCACATTATACAAATGCCAGATTAAAGCCTGGGCTTTAACGGCTGCTAACATCACCTCACACCAATGCCAATGTTCATTCTACGAAAAGAAAACTGTAATATCTGTTAGATACCATATAGACTATCCATAGTGAGCAAACATTCAAATGACTAGGTATATACCTTAAGGAACTCACTTGACTGGCGGTTTTTTTTTTTTTGACACAGTCTCGCTCTGTTGCCCACGCCTCCCAGGTTCAGGTGATTCTTGTGCTTCAGCCTCCCAAGTTGCTGGGATTACAGGTACGTGCCACCATGCCCAGCTAATTTTTGTATTTTTAGTACAGATGGGGTTTCACCATATTGGCCAGGTTGGTCTTGAACTCCTAGCCTCAGGTGATCTGCCCGCTTTGGCCTCCCACAGTGTTAGGATTACAGGTGTGAGCCCCTGCGCCTGGCATTGACTGGTTTCTTTCTAAAAGAATGCCTAGAAGTCAATGGCCTTTCAAGAACCTTGAGATTCAGCATTTAAAGCTCTTGGCATTGCTCCTATGCCTCAAAAGAAGATATATTATCTGGTGCGGGGACGAATGAAGTGTCTTTTCATTCACTATGCCAACATGACCCTGTTAGAGTGTTTTCCAGGTATCTTTAGTCATTTCTGAAATGTGGGGAGGCAGCTGGATAACATAACCTTAACAACATATAAACAGATCATATAAACAAAGGAAGTTCAGAGAACACACATTTTTTCCTTTTTTATTTCCCCTCTCTTAAGTTTGCTGTACTCAAACCCATATGGTTTCAGATACATTTTTCTCAGTGTTACTGAGTAGTCAGGTCCCTAAGAGATGAGTAATAAAGTGGGTGGAAGGTTAAGGGGCCAAGATCAACAAAAGAAGGAAATGAAGAAAAGTGCAGTGAAACCCAAAAGCCTCTAAACTAGTCCAGTAAGTTGGAAAATACAATGATTCCCAATAATATGTCTGGGATCCTGGGAGAATGTGTTTCATATGGTCCACGAGGGAGTGATTCAAATGGAATCATGGCTACCAAGCCACTGACTGCCAAAAGCCCTTCACATGTAGCATCTGTGCCTGATGATGTCCCAGTACGGGGGTCACAGTGAACTTTGAAATTTTACGCAAAGCACTTAAGAAATGTGATGAATGCTGCTCTAGAAGGGGAAAGAAGAGAAATTTGTTCAAAGGCAAAGCAATATACAACTTTGGCTCTTCACTGCACTTTATATAAACAGGTCTATCATGCAGATGTTTCTTAGTAGAGGGGACTTATCCAGCTTCTACCAGGAAGCCTCACAAAAATGGTATTACTTTGCCACTTACACTTTGAACCAGGGTCTAGTCCTGAGCTTTGGAAATCCCAAAATTCCCTCTAACACTAACCACTCACTGAAAAAAAATGATACATAAAAGAGTGCCAATTTAAAATATTTTAATGATTATAAAGATTGTAATGAGAATTACATTAAGCGCACCAGATACTTACTGACCAGTGAACACATTCTCTCTCTGTAGTCATCTGGTAGGCCAGATCATAATCAGAACATTGCTATGGTCAATATATGGCCAGAACAAAGGAAATTAGGTGGAACTGAAGAAATGTTCCTCAACTAAGATTGCTCTAGTAATCTTTCCCAGTAATAGGGATGATCACACCAATGTGACTATGTTATTCTAAATGTGTTGGACAGTGCTGGAAGCATATTTGTACTTCCGGTTTCTGGGGTTGGCTCTTTTCAAGCGCCCTTTTCTTAGTTTACACATGCTAACCCCACTTCCCTAAGTCTTTTCATAGAGATGCAGCATATTCCTTCCCCACCACTCCCTCTCCAACCATACACCTCAGAATTGAGAGGTGAGATTCTGCCCATTTCATTTTCCATGCTACAGGCTTTATGCAAAACCCTTGGTTCCTTTAAAACATCAGGTTGCTTGGTTTATCAACCTCATACCCAAAAATCTCTTACCACCATCTCCCATCATTTCAGCTCTCTTAATTCTCCTATTACAACTGACCTTTAAACATGCAAACCTCTATTCTTATGGCCCTTGATTTCCCCTTCTCTGTCCAGCTTAGCTTCGACGGCTACATTGCAAATGTTCTTTTGCCAGCACTCAATTCTCTTGTACTGTATCTTTCTATACATCAGAAGTAGATCAACTCTTAAGTTTTGGCTCAAGATGATGGAGAAAAAAAAAAAGACAAAATAGAGAGTATTACTATAAATGTAAGGCATCCAATCACAACTGGGCCCTCTATGCTCTTAGTAATCACTATATATTCTTAGGATATTTCCCAACTGCCATATTATCTCTGTCAAAGCTTTTCAACCGAACTCACCCAAATCCCTCCAACTCAGTCAGCATTATCTTTTCATATTCCTCAACCCCAACTCATGCCAAAAAGCATACTAAGTTGCCTTTTTTAGAAGACATAATTGATATACCATAAAGTTCCCCCCTTTACTACATACAACTCAGTGGTTTTTAATGTATTTACAAGGTTGTGCAACCAACACCCTAACCAATTTTAGAACATTTTCATCATCCCAAAAAGAAACACAATATCCTTTGGCAAACAATCCCAATTCTCCCTTCCTACTAGTCCTCCTAGGCCTGGGCAACTGCTAATCTATCTTTTTTTTTTTTTTTTTTTTAAAGACACAGGGTCCTGCTCCGTCACCCAGGCTGGAATGCAGTGCCACAATCATAGCTCACTGAAGCCTCAAACTGCTTGTCTCAAGTGATCTCTCTGCCTCAGCCTCCTGAGTAGCTAGGACCACAGGCTTGTGCCACCATGCCTGCCTAATTTTTAATTTTTTTTTGTAGAAATAGGGTTTTGCTATGCTGCCCAGGCTGTCTTGAATTCCTGGCCTCAAGCAATCCTCCTGCCTCAGCCTCCCGAACTGTTGGGATTACAGGTGTTAGCCATCATGCCTGCCTACTTTCTGTCTTTATAAATGTACCTATTCTGATATTTCATATAAACAGAATCATACAATATGTGGCCTTTTGTGTCTGGCTACTCTCACTTAGCATAAAGTTTTCAAGGTTCACATTGTAGCGTGTATCAGTATTTCATTTCATTTTATGGCTGAATAATATTATACTGGATGGCTATTGCACATTTTGTTGATCCACATATCAGTTGATAGACTTGGGTTGTTTCTAATTTTTGGCTATTATGAATGCTGCTGCTTATGAATATTTGTGTATAAATTTTTGTGTGGACATGTTTTCAATTCTCTTGGGCATATACCTAGGAGTGGAGTTGCTGGAACATCTGGTGCCACCATGTTTAATATTTTGAGGAAAAATCAAACTGTTTTTCAAAGCACCTCCACCATTTTACATTCACACTAGTAATGTATTAGGGTTCCAATTTCTCCATATCCTCAGCACACTTGGTATTGTCTTTTTTATTACAGC